AAAGAAAGAAAGCACATTGTGGGCAGGAGGACAAATTAATGTGATTTTCAAGAAAGTCACTTTGCTGCCATGTATTCAGATTAAGTTTTGTCATCATGTGAAAGTTTAGCCTGAAGGGAAAGGCATTTCAAAGTTACTCTTCCATCATTCATCCCTCTGTGCCAAATGGCTTAATGATTTCATCTCACTCATTTAAGACCATAGTGTATGTGAGTCCCTGAAACAAATGAACATGCAAATACTGACCTGCATTTCAGACACAATTTTAACTTAGTTTTGTGTAACCACCTCCACAAATTAATTAAAATATAACATTTACATAAAACCTAATCATTAAGTCCTGCAAGAAAACATTGTTATTTTGCTAAGATTTAAAAATAACTAGACTAATTAATTTGCTTGTAGAAATGAATTACTGGATAATTCCACACACAGTCACTGAAGTTCAATTAAAAATTAAGTCACTGGATGTCACTATTACCTGGAGGAAATGTGGCTTCAGAAAACTTTGCCATGAGAGGAGCAGACGGCTTGGCTGCCTTTCCCGTTTCCTTAGTTTTAATTGCATAATATTGATGTTGTTAACAGTTTTATTCTTTGTTTTCCATTGGTACTGCATTCCCTGGAACCCAAGGGGATGACCCTCTGACACTGAGCATTCTTGCTAAAGAGTCACATGCGCAGGTGCTCTGTGGGGAGGGGCAGTACACTTGCCTGCAGTGAATGTGTTTCTATGCTCAGCTTTCTGTGGCTCTCTGGATGACTCTGTAAATTTCAGTGCTAGCTTTTTCATGTATCGCCTCTTTTTTAATTTGTTGTATTTAGTACTCAAAATAATGTTAAAAAATAAATTGACATTGCCATGAACATTTTAGATAATAAGGTCAATATCCATAGGAAAGAGATGGCTATTGATGGTTCTTCAAATGTCAAGATTATATTTAAATGGCTTGTGGCTTCAAAGTTTCACAGAGACTAAAAAAATTACATTTGATAATTCCTTAGGGCTCCCATTCTGATATTACAAATTGTGGAAGTAGAAATAATGGAGAATAGGACTGGGGCTTTAGCTCAACAGCAAAGTGCTTGCCTAGCATGCATGAGGCAGTAGGTATGATCCTCAGAACCACATAATAATAAACAAATAAAATAAAGGCATTCTGTCCATCTACAACTATAAAAAAAGAAATAATGATGAATAAATGTTATTAATCTTATTAGG